GGGTTATTTTGGGATGCTAAGGGTTTAGTTAGAGGGGATGTAAGAACTAAATATATGAGAAATCGTCCGTAACATAAGAGCCCAAGGGGATCTCTACATCAAAATGAGGCTTTCATCTCAAGGGTACCTGACGTCAACATGTGGCTGCCAATTAGGGCTTTTTTTTTCATGTAGAGGATGTAGTTGGAGGTTTTCTTGCAGATTAAAGCCCGAGTTGTGTTGGACGAACGAAGAAGGTTAGAGGTGCTGGATATAGGTGAAGATGAAGGCCCTAGGGTTTCTTTCTAGCTAATTCAAAGATTAGCATCGATGGAAGAAGGTAGAGGCATCAGTAGAGGGAACAAGGGAGACTGAGAGAGGAGCAAATAGGCAGGGGGTTTAATTTTTGGGATGCCATTTCCCCCTTACTACTAAAACACGCGTTTCATTAAAAAAAATTATAAAACGACATCTTTAGATGATGCACATTTTATAATAAGCGCCCTCAGTGTGTGTGTGTGTTTGTTTTTTTTTGTGAGACACTAATTTTAGGGCACACAAAAATGCATGTCCTAAATTCTTCAAATTTCTAAAGATATGACATTATTTTTAGGGCACGCCCTTTTGCGTATCATTAATCAGTGCGTGTCATAAAAGCGCATCATTAAAGGTCTGTTTTCTAGTAGTGCTACCACTATTGCAATGCCTACTCAAACTGCAAATCTCGACATTTTCATATTCTTAAGGTATCATCTACTCCTAATACCACTATTATTTTACTGTCACAATCCCACATCCAACCGAAACTGAGATTTTTTAGAATATCATTAATGAAGCTATTATTAATCTCTATTAATCACAATCACCCTGTTGAATCATGAAAAATAACCCTCTTGAACTTCAGCTACCGCAACCAACAAGCTACCACAGTCAAGCTCCCTCTTCAGCATCCGAAGTCATCAAAGCCAACCGCAGTCACTCTTTGTTACTTAGTTTATTTTATCTTACTTAAATTCTCTCTATTGTCCAGTATGCCTTTCATGGCTACTCTTAGAGATTGAATCTAATGTAACTCCTTGAGTATCTATAAATAGAGCCCATTCTCATTATTCCAAAGATTAGAAAGTGTAACGGATCTATCATTCTGAATACACATCTCTGAAGTTATCTTTTCTATCTCTCCATCTAATTACTCATCTCTTCTTACTCACAAATCTTACTAGAATATAACTGATTACAATCTCTCTTCGGAGCAAGTCTCTTGTGACTTAATCACTAAGTTTGATCTCACTTATTAACTTGCCTTGAATGCATTCCTTGTTATGAATTAACTTATGTGTACTCTTGATATAACAATTGTTGTCATTTCATTTCTTTACTTTTCCGCAACTAACTCTCTAACTATCTAACTCTAAATATTATTGTTGAGCTTTTAGATCCTTCGAGATTAACTATTCCGCAATATACTTGTTCTAACGTTTGTTCAAGTGTGTCTCAAAGTTTTTCTCTCAATAATTGGTATCAAAGCCATAGTGGTTGCTTTTTGAAAACAGAACTCTGATTTTCAAAGGGCCTTCTATACCACTGAAGCTCATTTCTTAAAACAAAAAAAACTTAAAAATATGGCACAATCGTTATCTCTGAATGTTTCCAACAGTGTTGGTGGTTCTAATCGTGCCCCAATACTGGTAGCAAATGAATATCATCACTGGTCCCAAAGAATGGAAAGATACTTAAGGAGACTTGGTA